TACCATTCTTCTATCTGAGAAGTGACCAATAATTCACTGTGGTTACAACTGGAAAAATAGTATTTTACACATTTCTAAGTGCATTGAGCAAACTGAGACAAACAGAACCTAAGTGACCTGACTAAAAGCCCAAACAATCACAGTGCCAATGTTTGAAAATGTTGAAAATGAGATAGCACTATAAATAATGCAGTCTTCCACTTTAATGACAAAATTACATTATTGTTTGTAATATGAACAGCTATTTATAGGACTTCTATTATGAGTGAAATTTAAAATAGAAGCATCTTAGGTGGTAGTACTAAAATTGTTCCTAGTACAGTTCACTGTTGTGGAGAGACGTTGACTATTGAAGGATCAGATGTTTCTGTTCTGCCTCTGAAAATTCCACCTTCAACTTGAGGTTGGTAAAGAGAACCCTTTTTTTAAAAAAAGTTGGAACATAGTAATAGGTCAGAGGGAAGTGACAAAGGAGTGGGAGGAAGAGAAGATAGGCTTTATGGATATTTGGTTTTGTCTCCTTTCTCTATCCCTTCTCATTCTCTTTTTTTTCAGGAAAAAATATGTTATTTGAAACAGTATTACTCCTTGTGTGCTGAAATGGTACTTGGTATACTGTATTACTTATTATGCCTGTTCATGAATATTACAAAAGTTTGCATTAGTTTATTACCTGTATCTGCTTGTAATAGCTTCATAACAGTTCACTTCCTAGTGAGTTAACTTCCAAATTGGTTCTTCTCACTGGGAAGTTACAGAACAGTGTACTTGACTTGTACATAGGGAGAGGAGAGCAATACTGTTTAAAAAAAAATAAAAAAATAAACACAGGAAGGTACTTAGTAAGCAATGTATAATACTTTTAAAAACTGGTATGAAAAGGTCAGTTGCTGAAAAAAAAATGTTAGATATGATTGTTTGGCCAGTTGTTGGTAATTAGATTATCCTGCCTTTGTCCATAGCAGCAAAACAGCAGCATCGCGATTATGGCTTTTTCTCACTTGTCTGTTTTTCCTTCAAAAATAAACGATAATCAACAAAAGATTATGTCACTTTTAAGTCCCCTTTTAAGTCCCACTTCTTCCAACAGAAGTTCTTCGGAGTAGGTTGCAGATGCTTTTGACATCAATAATAAAATTTTGGTTTTCTTCCTAGTTTTTACGACAAGAAGGCAGCAATCCATGAAGCACTGTGTGACAATATTGACACTCGCTCTGTCTTAGAAGAAATGCGTTCGTTAGTCAGTCAGAGTAACTCCTATATTGCTGCAAAGAAATCTTCCAGACAAATGCCAAACAGGCTTCTTTTAGAAAACATCAGTTCCTATCTCACTCAAATGCTAAAGGTATGTAACAGCAAGTAGCAACATTGCTATTACAATTGTGCAATTCTAACTGTTGTGGTTTTCAAGTATATAGGGTTCTGCACAGTCTTTGTTAAATCTGTAGGAAACTGGAGATCTCCCACATATCCCCTACCAAAGCAACCCCAGATTGCAGCGTGTGCTGCAGGAGGAACAACTTTGAGTCCTTTATGTTACTTTATAATTTCAGCTAATGTTTAGTTAAATAGTGGAGAGCCAGAGCAGTCAAGAAAAACTAGACAGAAAAAATACAAAGTCAGTATGTCAGATCTGACAGCTTTAAAGCAAAATCTGAAAGCAAATGCTTAGTATGCTTTATCATTTAAAAACAAAAGCATCTCATTAGAGCAGTGGATTGTGGCTAGCACATGTGATTTTGCTAATTTTCACATACCTGTGACTTGATGCATGCAATTATTTTTATTTTTTTCCCCCCCTTGACCAGATTTTTGGTGCCATAGAAAGTCCAGACTCAGTTGGTTTTCCTGTTGGAGGGAACAGTCAAAACATAAATGTAAGTGAAGGACAAAGTTCACTATACAAAATTACTCCGTGCCCTGTGAAAGCTTAGGTTAGATAAAGTGATTACATTACAGATATGCAGCTGAGTTACCTTCTTTCTGCTTTTAACATTTTAATCTGAGGTAAGTCATTGAATTAGGAAGCAGTATTTTTCTTTTATGAGAGTTCGGTTTTTTTATAGGTTTGTTTGATTTAATGACAGACAAATTGTATAGCAACCAGAAAAATAATTATCTTGTCTTCTGAATGATGAGTCTGTTTAAGAAACCACGTTAACTACAGACAGTATGTGCTACAGTTTAAAGACTCATTATGAGTATTTGTATGTTAAGTAGCTTCAAAAACATAATTATACTCATTAAACTTCCTTGTGGTACACCAAAAACCAGCCTGGAGGCAGCTGGAGTTTTATACGCATTTCAATCTCTTTTTCTGATCTCATTTATAGCCACAGGTTTTATCTGGCTTCTGAAGGCTGTTTTGCTTTGGTCACCCAGCAGTTCTACTGGGATGCAGAATTTTTCTGGAAATACTTTGTAGATATCTGATGAAAGTGCCGATGGGTCCTTTAATAACAGTAATGTTTCATGGTGCAGGCAGGAGAAATAACTCCATATGAACGTTAGGCAGGAATTTTGCTTTGTTCCTGCAGAAAATCTGACATGGACAAATTGGTGCTTTTTCTGCATTCAGAGGTGTGACAGTGTGTTTTTCCTTTCCTTCTCTGAAGGAGTAATTAAAACATTTGTGGTATAACAAAAAAGCTAAACTTCTTCTTCATCAAAAGAAAAGGAAAGCTTGCTTGTGGTTGAAGAATGTAATGAGCACTCACCTGATAATTACTCATGGAAATACTTCCATTACTGTGCTGTGATTTCTTCATCAAAAGAAAAGGAAATCTTGCTTGTGGTTGAAGAATGTAATGAACACTCACCTGATAATTGCTCATGGAAATACTTCCATTACTGTGCTGTGAAAATATCCAGTAATGAAGTAACAAAGATGATAAGGAAGATTCTCAGTATCCATACTAAAACCCATGAATTTTAATTTAGTTCAAAATCATTTTGAATTTCAGAAGAACAGCAGCACTATAACACTTACCTTTTTAGGGAAAATTAAAATAAAATTTGTATTTTGCACTTCATTCAGGCAGCGTTTGGAACAGATATGCTTTATGGAAGGATTGGTAATAGCTTGTAGCAAGAAGCTAAGCCCTTTAGCTCCTTTAAAGGAATGTTGCCACGTGTAGTAGAGTCAGAAGAATCTTGTGCAGAAGGAATCCTGTACTAACCCAAGAAGCTCCTGCTTTTATCACCTAGGACATTACTGGTTTTAATCTTTAAAATATCAGGATGCATAGTGTTACATGTGTTCTGACTGTTTCATTAAATATACCCTCTTTCAATCTTCCATGCAGATACTTTTTTTCTTAGCAAAAACTATCAGGTGAACATTCAAGGTCGAAAAACTTTTCATTAATTATAGATGGCTGCAGATCAGGCTTATTGGTTCTTTGTCTAAATTGAAAATGAAGGAACCAGTGCAGCAGTTTTCTTCAAAAAATGCATAAATCCTCTTCAAAAGCTCTGAAAGAACAACTAGATTATTTGCTCTGTTTCAGTAATTTACTTGAGAGAGGACAGAAGATATTTGAAGTCAGAAATCCTCAAGTTCCATAGTCTCATTTTCCAAATGGATTCAGTGTTGCTGTCAACTTAGTTATTTAGGAAATAAAAACCTTTCACCTTTAAATGTCTCATAAAGTAGTGACAGGTCATGCTTTCCTGATGCCACTCCATGTGCATGTTGAGCTTGTTTCAATGTAGAGGGGGTAGTGGAAATGTGACTTGCTTGGTTTCTAGAGTCTGCTTTTTCTACCATACTTGTCAGTAATGGTTCAGGTTGTGGAACTGCATAGTATTCACATGTATGAAAAGTAATGGAGCACCTCCATGTCTTTCACATGGGCATTTTGAGAGCATAACAATCTATCCTGTCAATTGCATATAAATTTGTTATGGAGATTTAACAGATGCAAAAGACACATTGAAACTGAGGGGGAAACAAAAGGGTGCATTTTTTTCCTCACTCTCCCCCACTCTCCAGAGCTCTGAAACTTTCAGTTTAAGCAGTGTCCTCTTAGGATTTCAGAGGAGTGTTGGCAGACAGTGCTGCTCTGTAGTTGTTTTTGTAATTGTTCAGTAGCTGTTTGCTGTGGCAATTCACTACCACCAAGAGCAGGATTCTTGGGACTTTTTATTTGAGCTTTCATGACCAGCATTTACATGCACCTGAAATCGTTCAGAAGTAATTTCTCCCCACTTTTTGTGAGGAAGTCGTGTGAGGAATACAGACAGCTGCAATGTATTGGAAATAAATATAATTAGCATAAGCCAACATCTGAGGAACAGATTTATGTTCTAACAAAAATAAGTCCTCACATCAATTTCACTTGGTATTATATCTGACAAGCAGATGGACTCAAGTAAGAATACTCAAAACAGAATATAAAGGGGCAAATTCATCTAGGTGTTGTTTTTATACCTGTACTGCATTATAGTTAGCATAACCCTGTGGAACTGATGGATCTGTAACCAAAAGGAGATGAAAAAGGAATGAGGAGAGGCAGGACTTCATAAGTTTATTTTATCTGCACAAAAGGAAACTTGACAGCTAAGGCAAATTATCATTTATATTTTGACATCAATAGAGCAATGACAATTTTTATTGATACAGACCTTCCCTGAGAGTCATGTTTCATCCAACAGCACATAAATATGAAGTGGGTAAAGACGTGTTATATCTGAATTATTATTATCTAACTGTAGAAATAATTACCCTGCAGATTGAATCTACAGTGATGCCATATCTACAAGTTCTTTCTGAGTTCAGAGAAGGAGTACGACAAATTGCCAGAGAGAAGAAAGGTGAGAGTTCACTTTTTCTTGGATTATTTCACGAGACTCGGAGGTCTTAGGAATCAAACTGGAGAGCTAAGCCAACTGATGCAGTCTCTCTTTGCATAGAGAATAAAAGAAAAGCATTTTTAAATCAGAGCTTGTTTGAATAATTGCATCTCTGCTACCTGTCTCTTTAATTTTGGAATCTTTTACAGACTGTTAAACTAATTTTCTTTTAATTTCCTAAAGGATCTAAAAGTTCTGGAGTTATTAGGACTAGCTGTTGTTTCTGTAGATGAGGGCACTCCCTGCTTTTAAGGTATGTTAGTACCCATGATATCTTCCCATAGGGAACTTGCATTCCCTTAGTATAGATTACTATACAATTATACTGTCTGTGCTTAAATAGCCTGAGATGTTTGTTCTTACTTGTTAGCGTAGTTGAAATTGTAGTTTCCCTGATGGTAATTGAGTGCTGTCTTTGGAGAATTCATGTGCAAGTTTGCTAGAAGTTGTTCTGGGTGCTTATTTTTCCCCCCTCAGAAGAGCTTTGATCATGCTGTGTGTGCTGGCAGCAGAACTATATAGTGTTAAAAAGGTTGTTCCATTAAGACTTTGCTCGTACTATTTTCTGCTGTTGCCTGTGGAATTTTACTGTCTTTAATATGTAATTGATTCTTGTTTTCTTAAAAGTTTTTTACACTGAGATTTGTACTTGAAGGCAAAATAGGACAATTTTTGTGTGTGTAAAACATAAATAACCCATATAACAGAAACATAAAATTACTTGCAAGGTCTGGTTGATGACCTATTCAGCTGGCAAAGAATCTGAAACCAAATCCTGTTACTGTTTTGAGTTATTCTGAGGGCTAATAAGTTTACCTTGAAAGCTCAAAATTCTGTTAATGTGACTGCTCTGCTATTACTTTCAAACTCATATATGGCTGATTGATACTGAGAAATAGGCTTATTAGTTCCAAGACTAAATATTTTTCTGTAACTTGAATTAATTCAAGAAGTTTATGTGTATATCCTCAGCCAAAAATGTGAGTTTTCCTCTTTCGATAATTAAGATAACTACTTATTTTATATGAGGCTATTTTCTCCCTTGCTTTCTGATGGTTAATCTAAACTGACCCTCAGTCTTAACAGTCGTAAGGTCTCAATATAATGGGGCTTCTTGCAGATCGTTTTTAAAACATGCTTAGTGCTAGACTGCTTACTGTGGCACTTGAGCTTCTTACTTGGAAGGTACTGATTTTTTTGCCTGAAATGAATTGGGCAGTAAGAATAAAGCTGGATCTGGTTGCTGTTTGCTTGGGGTACAGAGCACTCTGCAGTTTGGCCAGGGAGGCACCTTCCATTAAACTATTTGATACATGGCAACCAAGTGGTGGTTGGCAGGACCTGCGCTGACGTGCGACTGCTTTGTTTCGTCTACCTATTCAGTTCTTGCTTGCAGGAGGTGTTAAATTGCTGTAAAAGTTTTTCTGATTAATAGCTGGGGATACTGCCTCTATGTGGTTGTAAGTGAAAGGAGTTTCCCCATGCCCAATGCTGGCAGGATCGTGTTAAATATTAATTAACATGATCTTTATTGTTTTGAGTATTTTTAGAGGTTAAATAAAAAGCATTCTGATTTGTAAAATCTGCAGAGTAATACAAATGTGCCCATCCATATAACTTTTAATAATGTATCTATATTTGCAGAACATTTCACAGAACAGCCATTTGTAAAACTGTTCTTTTTTGAAAGAATAAAATATATATACTTCACAAAAATTTTACCATCATGCAGAATGGCTAACTTTCAAACATTAAATTCTCTATTAGTATTCAAACTGGAGACCTGCACTGATTATTTGCAGTTGAGTCTTGATTTCATTTGTGAACATATCTAGCAGTTACAGTAAACAGAAAAAGGAAAACACTATGCTAGCTGTACTAACTTTGTCATTGTAACCATGCCTCCTCATGTTTTCTGCTGCCAGTCTTAATATATATGCTTCTTAAGCTCCTCCTTTTCCTACTCTTCACAGTGTTCCCATTCACAACAGCACAACACTTCTTTCACAACTGAGACTCTTTGGCTTGAAATTCACAGAAAATATGAAAAGAAGTCTGGGAAATAGTCATGGGCTCCAGGAGTGCCTAGCTGCTGGGGTGGTCATGGGCACTGGTGATAAGGCACTATCCATCCCACTGGTTTCCTGGTCACTGTCCTTAGTGAGGATAATGGCTTATGTCTTGGGGCAGACCCGTAAGCAGCCCCTTACCCACTTTCTAGACATCTTTGCTCTGGAGATATCCCATGAAAAGAACAGGCACATTTCAGCCCTAAGAAGCATGGTGCTGACTCCTCTTGATGACAGAGGATTGATCAAAGGATGTCTCCTTTCATAAATAATACATGTTTTACTATACATCTCCTTGTTCTCTACCTTGATGGATTTCTTCTTTTTAAACTTTCAATTATTCATTATTTCAAATAAGTAAATATTTATAACTGAGCAGATGCTGTTTTATTGAATAAGCAGTAGGTGTTTCTGATATATTCTTGATATGGTATTTGTAATTCCTTTGTCTGGGTTAGAGGCAACACCTTTTAGTGTGTTGACAACAGCCAGTAAGGTAATCTTACCCCTTGTTTATCTTAATGGCTTATTTAGAGTTGCATCAAACATTAATGTGGTTTACTCTGTATTAAGTGCTCTGGATCAAGAAGAATAATTACTTAGTTCACAGCAGACAAAAGAGGCTCTCTAAACTGCAGTGCTTTCCTTCACGAAGGGAGAGCTGCCAAAACTACTGTGCAAGGAATTAAGGTGGTGGTTCTTTTTTATGGTGTTAGGATAGTTGGTGCTATGTTCACTGTTCAGCTCTCTGAGGCTCTGAGAATTATGGAAGAGATGAAAGCTCAGGGATGGTACTTTTATCTATTCACACGTGCAGTGTGTTTAGTATAGTGTCTGGATGGCAGCTTCTACTGCTAGAATTCCTACCTTTGAGACCCCTATTACTACTTAGGCTTAACCAGCTGAGAGTTGCTGAAAAAGAGAATGCTTTTTATTATAAGCACATGGTATTATCTAACCCAAGTATCTATCTTGTAAGATCTGGTAAGCGTTTCCTCTTAAATATAAGACTATCTATAAAAAATGCCACTGAATGTAGTACACAACAGCAACATACTGGATCATCTTGTTGCATTTAGTCCCTCCCAGCTGCTGTTTCTTGGCAGATAAAATTTCTCAATGTTAAATATCTTGTATGAAGATTTCTTTTCCTCTTAAGACCTGATAGCATCTATTTCAGCTAAATCTTGAGTTCTTAACCATTTGTTGTCATCGAAGGCTCTTCGATAAGTTAGCAAGAAACAAAAATAACAATAGTCATGATGTCCTCATGACCACCTGGAAAGCCAAATTAAAAAATATCAGTTCTGCTGCAACTAGCTTGCTTGAAAAAAAACCCATCTTGGTCAGATGAGGTGGTAAAGATAACTGTCTGTAGAAAGAGAATGTTTGGATTACAGTTGCTCTGACAAATGTGTGTGTAGTTATCAAACTAAAAGTCATAGCCCTTCAAAGGCACTGTTAGATGTAGCACAGGATCCTTGGAAAAAATTTATGGATTTCAAGTCCCTGCAAAGAAACATGATGCTTCTATGTGTAGATGAAAGAAGGCAGAACTAACTTTAAAAAAAACCCAAAAAGATCTTTCTCTGGCCTGTGTGAGAAAGTGGCAATTTCTTAATTGCATTTAAATAACTATGTAGCAGGCTAGAATTATACTTTCACCAAATCTTACTTCACTAAAAGTATTTTTCATGCTTTGTAGTAACTGAAGTGCTGCAGCTGAGTGATACTCTTCGAGATGACATCCTTCCTGAACTTGGTGTTCGATTTGAAGATCATGAAGGTATTCAATTATATGTCTTGCAAGTCTGTAGTAGCTGTTCTTAAACTCTTACTATTTTCATAAGTACAGGAAAACAATCTGTCAAGACTAATCTGGAATAATCCAACAAAACTCAAGCTATAGCATATCCTATTTCTGATACATGAATATAAATTATAGAACTGTATATTGGAATATATGTTTTGAATATAAATATGTACATTGCAATCTTCATCTTTTTGTACAGTAGCTAATTTCTTAGTCACTTTTCAGTAGATACGGAGTTGTATTTGCATTCAGTTTGCAAAATGAAAAGAGTTATCATAGGGTAAATGTATTTATCTTTGACTTGTCAAACGTTGGGAAATAATTAATCTGTTTTTGCTTCTTTAGGACTTCCAACTGTGGTTAAATTAGTGGATAAGGACACATTATTGAAAGAAAGAGAAGAAAAGAAAAAGGTTACTTTAAGCATTCTAGCTTATTTTTTTCATTTATATTAATTTGTGAGCTGTGGATACTTTTACATTTCTTTGATAACTTCTAAGAAAAATGTGAACAGACTAGCAACAAGGAAAACAACATCAGAGAACTAATGTGTTCAGAAAATGATTTCTGAAGCAGTACCTTCTTGAAAAGTTTGTTGGGAGCTAATGAATACCTCTAAGATTGTTTGCATGTTTAAAATCTTCATAAAATTAAGGGATGTTGAGTATTGCATACATAGTGTCTTATCTCTCTGAAAGAACGATTCCAATGAGAAGCTAATTTGGACTTGTTTTGTCTGTACAAATGAAGTCAATGTTTTCCATAGAACTAGACTGTATCTGCTGTGTAAGAACTAAATGCACTAGCTAAATCTTAATAGATTTAGATGACTAGTATAGATGACCGAGATATTCAGGGTGTGGGGGCAAGAAATCTCATGTTACTAACTAAGGGCTGTGAATTCTCATTCACAACGCATAAGGTCTGTACAGGAACTCTTGGCACTTCCCAACATTGATAGACTTTTTAATGTTCAAAAGTAAGACTTCATATACAATGTCTTCAGTTTTAACAGATAGTAAAATCCATCATGATGAGAAATGTCTGTAAGACTTTCCAACGTTTCTCCTTCCATGTAGACGTTTTTTAGAGAAGGGAGAAGTAAAATGTAGTTTCTGCCAATTCCAGTTGTTTTCATAAAAAAAAAATATTTGAAGGCAGCTTGTATATAGCTGTTGGGTGGAACATGCAGCTAGAGTACATTTTTCCTGGAAACATTATTATGTTCAGAACTGGCAGAACCCTTGGAGAACCAACAGGTCTCTCCTAGTGCAAGATGATATATATATATGTATATATATATATATATACACACATATGTATATATATATATGTGTGTGTGTGTGATTTTTTTTATTTTTTTTTTAAGTTTCATAAGTTGGCTAAATTTGGATAGTTGTTTCCCTAGGAACATCAAGGGATACAACTGCTTCTTGAGAAACTGTGATGTCTTCACAGTTTGAAGCAAGAGCTTAAAATATCAGTGAAATATGGTCTTTTTTTTAAGTCATTTGCAAAATATCTTTCTCCATGAAATGGCAGAAGCATTTATTTTGCAGGCTTTGTAGGTATTTCCACATTAGCATGCAAAATGCATCTTGAACAGTTAAAACTGGTTTGTAAATAAAAGCAAATTAAATCAATTGTACAGTGGGAAGTATCAGACAATCCTAATTATAAAGCATGGTGATTTTGCTGCAGGTCATGCTGCCAGTTCTGTCTGTAATTAGATATCCAGGGGAGTTAGCTGGCTTAGATTTGTAGAAAACAAATAAATGAAGTACTTAGTTTCCTTTTACTCATTAATACTGCCTTTCATAGCTTGAAGAAGAGAAAAAAAGGAAGAAAGAAGAAGCAGCCAGGAAAAAACAAGAGCAGGAAGTAAGTGTTCAGATCTTTATAATATGGTTTTGAAGAAAAGTGTTAGCAGCAATAGTCACATGCAGGAAAGATGACATTAGAACACAGGCTCTCTGCCCAGCCTGAACTGGGCCTCCATTTCTTATTTTATGTTTCATGTACAATTTCCTGCTCAGAATGACTTTGGCTTACAGTTCATATTTGAATATTCAGCTCCTATCGTAGAGAAGCCATCTTTGAAAACACATCTGAAGGCTGCAAAAGCTTCTTAGAACAACTTAGAGCACTTATTTCAGTCTATAGACAGTATGACCTCCTTAAGTGCCAAAGTAGTGTCTTAATATGCCTGTTATAGAAGATTTTGCTTGTGTCATGATTTCCTTCCCTTTCTAGTGTTGCAGGTATGTGTGAAAACTTTTTTTCTCTTTAAGAACCCACCTGTTCCCTATGTTTGACTCTAAAATGTAGTGTTTTGTAAAAACACATTCTTATCTCTACAGTTGTCATTGAGATAGCTCAAAGGTTTTAGGCTTTGGATGAGGAGTAGACAGGCAGACGAGATTAACTCAAAAGAAGAAAAGATTGTTTACTGTGCTGATGACACTAACAGTACAGGAATCTTTGATTTGCATAGTTTGCTTTTCCTATTGCATATGTGACAGATTGTCAGTGATTAACTGTGATGTTAATTCACATTTTATTTTACAGGCAGCAAAACTGGCAAAAATGAAGATTCCACCACATGAAATGTTTAAATCAGAATATGACAAATATTCTGTGTTTGATGAAAACGTAAGAGACTCTTCTTTAGATAGGGACTGGTTTTCCTTCCCCAGTTGTACAAACTCAGTTGTATGTGTACATAGCTGACCTTGTTCCAAAGCCTCCAAGGCAGTGCATTCTGTGTTTGATGAAAACGTAAGAGACTCTTCTTTAGATAGGGACTGGTTTTCCTTCCCCAGTTGTACAAACTCAGTTGTATGTGTACATAGCTGACCTTGTTCCAAAGCCTCCAAGGCAGTGCTATTAACGTAACAAGAGGAGGGAAAGAGAGAAAGAAAAGCTGTGATATATTAATTTTATTGCCCATACCTTACATTAGACAGCAAGGCTCTCTAGCTATTAGCCATTATTTCCAGGGTGTTTTCATTTTACATTGGTCTCCTTTGGCCCCTCTTACTGCAGAGCAAAATCCCCCATGGATACTGTGGGTAGGAACACGCATAATATGTGTCTGCAGATATACTACCTTGTTGCAAGGCAAGGAGTTCACTTGCAAGGACAAACTTCCTAACTCTGCCAGAACTGATGGAGACAGTTATGTTTTTCAGAGAGGTGCTGTGCTTCCTTTTTGGTTCTGCCCATTCTTTTGCTCTCTCCTGGCAAAGGATCTCTGAAGAGGCTGGACCGATAACTTTGCTCTTGATTATCCCTTGAGGATAAAAGGAGTTACATGGAAAACATAAAGTGCTATTTCTTCAGCACTTTATTTGGGATATTGGTCCTGCTTCTGCCTCTTCACCCACACCAATTCAAGCCCTGGGGGCAAGTAAGAATGGAGAGTGTAAATACTGGAAAGTACCCGGCAAGCCAAGGAGAATGCCATAAAAACTCTGATCATACTTTCTCCATCAAGAACACATTTTTTTACTGCTTTTGCTTTAAGCCTTGGATTTAATTTGCTATGATTTAAAATTGGTCTCTTAACCATCTGTTTAAGCTTTAGTCATTATTTTCTTAACTATAACCATCTAGAAGTTAGTTGTCTAAGCCTACTTTAATACAGGACAGAAAATAAATCAACTCCCTGCCCCTTTTTTAACTACAAAGGGACCTACACAAATAGTCAAAGTTAGTTGTCAAACTTCTAGGTGACTAAAATTAGTCAAGATACACCCCATCCTGACAGCTTGTCATTATCACATTATCCCCCATCTTATTAAAACACTATTTCATAAGGAGCAAAAGCAGTCCAAGAATTTATCTTAAATATTATCTTTTTTTTTTTTTTAATATATCAGGGATTCCCTACCCATGATACAGAAGGCAAAGAACTCAGCAAAGGACAAATTAAGAAGCTAAAGAAACTTTATGAAACCCAAGAGAAGCTATACAAGGAGTATCTACAAATGGTTCAGAATGGAAGTGCAAATTGAAAACAACAGGACTTTTTTTTTTTTTTAGAAGGCAAGTGCTAGGTCACCATTGAAGAAGTGAGCATACACTGATGCTCAGATCTCTGTTTACACTTTCTATTATGTGCAAAGTAAAAATCCTGACTACGTGGATTAATCATGTCATCTGGAAAGTCAATAAAAATCCATTCTTAAAAGAAGCCAATCTGTAAGAACTTTCTTCACAACAACAGTAGCAGGTTGAATGGTTGCCAGTTCTGTTTGGGAATGTGCTGCTCAGTCAGCAAATCCACATAAGGATTCTTGGTGTTTTATATCTGTCCAGGCTTGGTTAATTTGTCCTGCATACTGCTATCTATCTAAAATCTACTGTAGCTTGCATTCTGGAATATATCACAATCAACAACATTTAGTACAAAATGGGAGTTGAGTAGTTTGTCCCACAATAAGAAAGGTATTTTCCAGATGACTTTAGTATATTTCCATAAGCAGGAAAACTGGGTAGTTCCACTATAATACTTTGCTAGCTGCTGGTATTAAAAAGTCTCCTAAGTATACCCAGTACACTTTGCATAGTAGAAGCTAACAGTCCCTTTGTTGCAAAAGGGAGCAAGTCATCCTCTTTGCTCAACCTGCAGTTGCAGTCAGGTGGGTAAGTACTAGGCAAATGTAGCTGCATTGAACAAACAGGTGGGAAAGACATGCAGGAGGGTGGTGCATTCTTGGATCTAATCCTCCAAGGAAACAGGAGTCCTACCAAAGTACCTGATTACTCAAAGTACTCTGTACCTAATTACCTGTTCAGGCCCAAGGGGAATTAAGAGAGAGTTTATAATTGAGATACAGTTTGTGGACTGGTTTGCTGTTAGGCAATACAGCTACACGCATTGCTTTTTAAGATGTTTCTAACATGACGGTTTTACCCTGAGTTAATAATCTTTATGATTATGTCTGAAAGGACAGTTCTCTGTTGCCTAATAACGCATCTCACTGGCAGTAGCTACTATGTGAACTAAAGTTCATGAAATCCTGCAAATTATCTCACCTACTTCACAACTGCATATAGCAGCTAAATGTCTGGTTTTCTATATTCATCCAGTGTTCTTAATCCTCAAGATGACTTGTGAAAAGTCATCCTATGACACCTCTGTTCTCTCAGTTCTGAGGTTCCTGCTGTAACTGTTAGGCTATGTTCCTTTCCCTAATTAAGGGTTACAATACTTTTTTTTTAGCTGTGTTTTTGTTTGGTTTTTTTTAATGTATATTCCTCCTTCTAAGGAATGAAGAAATCAGGAGTAAAAGAAAGGTCTAGTCATTTTTTTTTCTCCTTTGTCTGTATTTGCTTTTGAAAACATCCATAATGTTAAGGTCAGTAAAGCACATGCATCTTGTATGCAGAAAATAAAATACATTGTAAAGTACAAGTTCTATGTGACCTTTGTATAGTGGGAAGAATACAGAGCTTATCTTTATTCAACAACCATCTTTTAGAAGTGTGGTTTACAGAGATTTTTCTTGGTTTTACTAATTTAATTATTTTGCCTTCAGTATTTGGTTATTCTGCTAATTTCTAATTAACTTTATATTTGTTTAAACTGCACAGTGGTAGTTCAAATGGGCAGCCATGAAGGCAACTGATCCATCCTTTGGTCTGTGAACACAACACGATCGGTTGCATTTTTCCACCATTCTAACCCCCTTCCACCACATTCCTAACCCCCTTCAACAAGAAGGCTTAGGGGAGACCTTATTGCCACGTTCCAGTACTTAAAGAGTGGCTACCAAGAAGATGGTGACTTCATTTTTACAAGGAATTGCATGGAAAAAATATGGGTAATGGGTGTAAGTTACTCGTGGGAAGATCCTGATTGAACATCAGAAGAGAAGTTTTTCACTATGAGAATAATTGGACTTTGGAGTCATCTCCCCAGGAAAGTGGTGGGTCCTTCAACACTGGACACTTTGAAGACTCAGCTTGACAAGGTGCTAGGCCATCGCATCTAAACCATGTTCCTACCTAGAAAGAATGGACCAGATGATCTTTGAGGTCCCTTCCAACCTGGCATTCTAGGATTATCAGCTCATCGTTTTCTTCCTAGCATGCTCCCCCAAGACACATCTGCACTCAGGATATCCATGAAGACATGGGATGTGCCTAGGCTTCAGGCACAAGATGCTGCTTCTCAGCCAGTAAGGTTCTCAATTACAAAGTCCCTGCAGTCCTAGACAGATTCCAGGGCTAGTTCTGCAAACTCCACTAGGAATCCTAGACCTGAATAATTTCTAAACAAAGCATAAACTTCACTTTCCTTAATGTGAACTGCTTCTGAAGATACTAATTAATGTCAAATACTGACAGTAATTTGCTTACAGAAATTATTTTGGGTGATCCAAGTCAGCATTTGCTTAAAGCTAGTTAGTATATAACTACAGAGAAGATGCTGTTATCTTACTGCTGTCCTGGGTTCTAGTTTATTTATGACATTTCCATGATGACATCCTGGCTTTCCCCCCACACACTGTTTTTAATCTGTTTAGTAGAACCTTATTCAATTCCATGGCTTATCTGCTGCATCAGTGTAGAATAATATTAACCAAAATGCCTTTTTCTCTTCCCAAATTCTTCATTTTGTTTCTGGAACAACTCTCCTTGCACAGGTTTTAAGAGCATTTTCGGAATCTGATTCTCCAAAGGTTATTTTCCAGGTTTTTCCCTCAGTATTTATTTTTTAATTCATAGTCATGTCAGATAATGGTCTCTGTTGCATTTGCTGCCCAACTAAGGTTGTCTTCTTACCTCGAAAATTATTTAGCTCTTGCTTCCCCTTCCTGTGTTTTGTCTGATTGTCAATATAATTGTGGTAAAGAAAAAATATTGGAAAAGACCTTTAAGATCTTTTAAGTCCAACTGTTAACTTAGTACATCCCAGGTTCTTTTCCTCTGGGCAGCTTTCCAGCCACTCTTCCCCAAGCCTGTAGCGTTGCATATTTGACCCAAATGACCTGACACTTGGCCTTGCTGAACCTCTTAAAGTTGGCCTCAAGCCCATCAATGCAGCCTGTCCAGGTCCCTCAGGCAGATAAACACTCCCTCTCAACTTGGTGTCATCTGCAAACTTACTGAGGGTGCCCTCGGTCCCCTCATCCAGATCATTAGTGAAGATATTAAACAGAACTGGCCCCAGCACTGAGCCCTGGGGAATACCACTTGTGACCAGGCACCAGCCGGATTTAACTCCATTTACCACAACTCTTTGGGCCTGGCCATTCAGCCAGGTTTTACTCAGCAAAGCGTACACCCATCCAGGCTATGAGCAGCCAGTGTCTCCAGGAGAATGGTAAAGCCTTTGACACCATTTCCCACACCAAAGTCTAGGTAGACACCATCCACAGCCTTTCCCTCATCCACTAAGTGGGCGACCTTGTTACGGAAGGAGATCAGGTTAGTCAAGCAGGACCTGCAGTGATAATTTGAGATGATTTGAAAGATTCCTTATCTGAAACATCAGTTTTGCTCAAGTCATCTGCTACAGCATGACAGCATTCCTGTGTTTGAATTCTCTTTGAACACAATCAAATGTCTCCTAAAACCAATGTGATCCTTTTCATATACATCATAAGGATCAGGGCCTTTGAAATCCTCACCTCTTCAGACTCACCTTGTATCTTGGGTTATCACTGTTCTTCTACACAGCTACTTATTCTCCCCTGCTTTTTATAGTGCTTTGCTATCTAGTTCATGCATTTTTGAAGCTGCCTTCCTCTAGCAAGCTTGTTGCTTGACTCCTAAAGTAATAAAGCCCTCAAAACCCTCCCATACTTAAACTGGTACATTTTCTCCTCCCCTCTGTTTCAGCTGTCCTCGGAAGCCAGCATCATGAGCAGGGAGAATGTCTGCTTCATGAAGCATCTGAGTTAGTTCACAGGCCTAAATGTATTTGATTAAAAATATACATAAATTGGCAACTCTTTCTGTAAAGAAACTGCTGCAATATTTTTACCTTGTTACACAAACAGGAAGTTAATCCATGCTCTCCAAGTAAAATCAGAGCTTTGCCCATATTCTGAGTTCCATTTTTTTCCAGAAGCACTAGGATAATAAAAACAATGATCTCAGCAAGGAGTTGGAAAAATAGACTTAGTCTCCTAGGATTTGTAACAAAAACCAAGCTCCAGAGCTACTACAGATCAATTACTTCTATCCTCTCTGCAGCCAGTATTTAGCACAAAAATACCAATACTGATGAAGGAAAACTTGCGAGCAAACAAAGAATGCTGCAGCAAGGCTTGGATGCACACTGATGATGGTTTTGGTGAAGGTGTGCCAGCTGATCTGCTCCATTACTGAAATAGCACAATACCTCTTCCCTGGCAATCCATCAAGGTGGCACTTCAGTGAATTCCGCTGCACTTGCTCAGTCGGAGTGATCTGGCAACCAGGAGAAAGCAACGGCAATGGTCTGCATTCAGCATCTTACTTACCTGTCTCTCTCAGCAAGGAAAAGGGGGAGGACAGACTCTAGAGAGTATTTTGATTTTTTTATTGTTTTGGGTTTTTTTTATTATTAAAATGGGCATGTATGCGTACACATGCTCAGGGAAGCCAGTCTGGAATGTGATTTTTCTAAGCACTATGAAAATCCCTGTAGCAAAATCTTGGATTTAAAAAATATTTTAATTTTCTGGAACACAGAGCTCATGTTGGTCTGTACATGCTTCTTATTTCTCACCTATCAAAGAATTTATTCAGACAGGGGTAAGGTAAAAGCGCAGTGCTTCTGTTTTTAATTGAACCTCTGGCTGAAGGCCAAACTTGACAGCAGCAAATTGTGTTGCTGTCTTTTGCTTAGAGTGTGCCTATCAGCCATTCTAATGTGAATATTCACATTAACAGCAAATGTGCATACTGCTCCACTAAGGAGAACAAGTTCCTCTCTCACTGTTTGTTCAGGTACTGGTAGAAAAATCTCTGAATTGTTCAGTCTGGTCTTGTTACCACCAATCTTTTCAAAGACTTTAATGAGTACCTAATTACTCTCTTTAACCTCTTTATCCTAATGTTTTTATTTGCTGTCCACTGTTCCAGGAAACCACTGATGTATTTTAAATGTAAGAATAAGCAAATCTATGCCACGTGCAGTACATAACTTCAGCTTCTTTGTCTATATTTTAAGCTAACATTTCAGGTGGTGGTAGTTGTTGGACCAACTTTTTAGGTCCCTCTTTACACAATTTCTACCACACAAATACAGAAAGGAATTTTTATTCCCCTCTGTGCTTTCACAGGGCAATTTCTATACAGGACACTGTACCACATGCATAGTACTTCGTGTATCTCCTGAGACAGAACAAATTAAGTAAGAAACAAATTAGCTCTTTAGTACCAAAACTCCACTTAGTGATGATCAAAGTTCTTCCTCCCCCCACAGAAAAAAGTAGTTGACAACTAAGTCTTATCTCTCAAATCAGGCTTTGAATGTCTAGTATCTCACTAAGTGAGAGCAGTT